AAATAGGTGATAGAGGTGCACAGATTTTAGCTTCGTTAATAAGAAATTCTATGGTAATCACGTAACTTGCTTGATATATTCCATGATTTTATACTGAATGTCGGTAATAGAGACTCATCAGCTTAGATCTTCGATCAAATCATATTGGAGATCAAGGGGCTTCTTATCTGGCAGATGCTTTGATAAATAATACAGTAATATATACTATTTTAAAATCTTGATAGTTTTTGTTTCACAATTTGTTTTTCAGACAATGACTACACTTAAACTTCGTGGAAATGAAATCGGACCATCGGGCACAAAATATTTGATAGATGTTCAACAAAATCGAACAGTTAGTTCTTGTTAATCCTTTCAGTTTTGTTCATAAATTTTTAAATTTAATTTAGACACCTATTGAACTAGAAATCAACGGTAAGCATATCGAAGAAATTTAATTTCAGAGTTTTGAACATTTTTCAATGAAAATATTACAAAGCTCTCAGCTCTTCACTATCATTAGTGTTCCACTTTCACTTAATGTTATCACTGATGATGTCAATACAAATATTGGCAATTGAATGTTCTCTATTATCCAACGAGAAAAAGGCTGATTACAGGCCTTTAGAATCAGTAGAATCACATGAAATCTGTGCATATCTAATTTCATGTAATTCTATGATTGTAGGCATGCATCAGTCTCAGTTGGTGCCAGTCTGGCCGGGAACCTAGTCTAACTGGGTGCTACTCAGCTCTGTTGAGTGTTCGATACAGTAGCCGAAAATTAATTCGATAATTAGAAAAACATTTTCGGGATCGAGAAACTCGCATCTACTATCAGTTTTTTAAAAGTTTTAACTTAACTCTTTTATGGAAGAAGTATTATTTTAACAAAAATAAATTGTCTTTTTCTTCAGTAAGAAAGTAGCATCTTTTTTTTTATGAAAACAGTATATTTGAGAAAAAATTATTTTCATTGTTAAATAATATTTTTTAGTAAAAAAAAGTTAAACCGGAAGTTTTAAGAAAATAATGATAGATTCGATTCTTCGAGGATAAAAACCTTTACACATAAAATAAATTCTGCTTGTCAAAGCAACTTTAGATCAAGTTCCAGAATATCCACTCCGATTAAATTGGTGCTTCCATAAGTTAATCCAGTGATTATAAGCGATTCTGGTTATCTTGAAGGTCTGGAAGCAGTTTTTCTATATAGCCTCAGAGTCAGTGGAATCACGCAGAATCAATAGAATCAGCTTTTTTCTCCTTGTTACTATCTAATAAAGTTTAGAATAGAATCTTATTTACGAATTGAACAAATTCAATTCTTTTCACTGATTCTTTTTTTGGATCGTGCTATCAAGACTATTCTTAGTAGCACAATCTGCATATCTAAAAAAGCCCTTAATCTAGAGATTTCTATACATAGCACTTGTGAACAACTTACAAAATTCTGTCTTTATGGGTGACATTAACACGTCGTTAGAAGAACATATGCATAGTATTGAGGATAAAAATAGTAAAAAAAGACAATGGATTATGCACGAGATTGCATTCACTATTGAAAGTATGTTCAACATTGCATTGCTATTATATCTTCTGATATTAAATAGTGTGTTTGGTAGAAGGTATATATAATAATGAACAATTTTAGTTATTAATTAACAGCGTATTTATCCATCGTAACCATACTTTTTCATCAAAGATAAAAACAAATATAAAATTATCCGTTTGAATTCGATTTAGTTCAGATTCATGTCACAAGAGATTTTATCAAATTTGATCTACTACCGATTCTTTCAAGAAATTTTCTTCCTGAACATTATAATTTTCTATCAACTGTATTAAAAAAAGTAACGTTCATCGACATCGAAGGTCGATTCACTGGGCCCTAGACTGACGGAAGGATGACACCCACATGGTTTTATTTTTCGGGTTACTTGTGCCGTGGAAATGGTTATTTTTGCCATAAAAACGATCGTTTGTGCCAATCCTTTGTTGCAGATAGACAGACACAGATGAATTACAATTTCTGGTCCCTAGCCTTTCAGTTTAAGGAATATGTGCATTAAGCCAAATAAATATTAGAAAAGAAAGTTGTTGATTGTCTATTACTAATTGATAGGTATTGAATATTCATATTATTGCTCACATATGAATATTCTATAATTTCCGTTGAAAATAAATTTCGTTGTATTGAACTCAGCGTACAATAACGAAAATAGTAATTCTCCGAAATAAAATCATTGATAAACTGTTGTGGTAATAGCTTTCACAGGTATTCGATTGTGGGAGGCGCAAAGAATCTATGAAAATCTTTGATACAATAGTTTCCAACTGTTTATCAAAAAACATTGTAGTTAATCTTGATCTCCGAATGAAACATGTTAAATTCGTACTTATCAATCGCTTTTAATCAGGATTGATTGTATTCAGCAGTAACAACCAGATTTTTAAACTGAAATCGACAAGTATTCGACAGTGTATTATCTAGATGAAGATTTCTAATTGAGGAAACTTAAAAATTAGACTAATACTCTCATGCCTACCGAGCTTTTAGAGTTTCTAGTTGAATAATCAATGTGAGTAGATCTATTTATTGCATTGATCATGATATACACAATCGGAATCACATTTGGAGCTTCATAGATGAAGCTCTAATCCTAAAAGATAAAGCACCAAATCAAAACGACTGGCACATTTTGGCTTTCAACGCGAAAAGACTGCAAAGTTTTGTGTTACGGAAAATCATTAGTTTGACTTTAGTTTCTTTTTCAACATATAAAATTTTTCATCTATTAAATAAGTATAAACTCTGTTGTGTGCTATTTTGATTTTTTCAGGTACATTGAAGTTGCAATGTTCATGGGGACATCGTCTTGAACTATACACTTTGGATATGCGTGAGAAAATACGTGAGAAAAAATTTCAACGTCGACGTACATCAGTGAAAGTTGTATGTAATGTATGTTGGAAACCCGTTTGGTGTTTTTCATGGTATTGCCCTTGTTCAATAAGAGGATTCGACATTTGTGACAAATGCGCAAATAAAACGGCTTAAAATTTATCATCGTCAAATAACATGAATAGAAACCAGAAAATCATTCGACTGTTCAATTTTTATTAGAGTATTTCTTATTAACATATATTTATTTATCATCTAACGAATATTAAACTCGACAAATATTAAATGAAATAATATAATCATTAATATAAAGAAGGAAGTTTTTTTTTCTAGAGGCATTCTTGAATGGGAGTGTCCTATTCAATTCATCCACTCACACCAACATTGTGCTTTCCTTCGATCAGGTTTGATCATAGAGATATGCAAGAATTTTTCTTCTGCCTATCTAGAAATATTTTTATTTTTTGTTTCATTTTTTTTTCAGCTCTATATTTTCATTTCTGTTGAACAAATATTAAAATCTCTCACTCATTATGATGACGATATGGACAAGATTAAGTGATGCTTGAAACAGAAAAGTGTAGAGAAAGAATGACTGGATACTTTTCTATAAAACAACTCAACTGAATATTGTTGACACATCTCATAGAAAGCAGTATTTTGAGGGTGTGCGTGTGAGTGTTTCTGTTTTTCTTATCTACATCCACATCCACACCCTTAGAACTATTTCAAGTGCTTTTAAACAATAATTAAAGATCTTTCCAAGTATATTAATTAGATTCCTCATTAGATTTTATCAATTTGGCTGTATTTTGACAGAGTTTCAATCAAAAGTAAGAAGTAATTCTCTTGATTCCTTTATAAATTTTAAAACTGACTAGAATTGCCTTGAGGAAAAGAAAATTTCGAAAAATCAAAACTTTTGCAGTGCAACCTATGACGGTTTTGATGATATATGAAACTCAACTATATATTGAGATGCAAAAGAATCCATTACATACCATTTTTTCACGTTTTTCTCACCGTCAGACTTCTGTCATTTTATCAGCAGATTTTCACTAAGAAATTTCAAAAACAATGGGTGTTTGATAATAACTGCCGATAAATTGTTATTCATATTTTTCTTGAGATAGATGGCTAAAATTTTTATCAGATACATATCTAATGAAGATCTTCTATTTCAGAAACTTTTTGCTCTTCAGCTATAACTATTGTTGAAATATATCGACAACATTGAAATACAGAAGTTTTCGAAATCGATTTCTTAATATTTTTTTATTGTGAAAATGATGAGTGGTCAACCAAAAAATCGCACAGTTTTCTTTCGTGTCAGACTGTGTAGGGCTTTTTCCAAGGATCATTTCGGTGAAAGAACTTTTCCAATTTCACTGATAAACGACGATGTTATAGACAAAATACTAAGCACTGTAAAAAAGGTTAGTGGAAGAAAAAGTCAAGTTGAATATCTCAAAATATGACGTTGTAGGTTTTGTAGAGGAAAGCTTGCTCTAAAAGAGTCTATAGTCCATTTCTGAGATACAAGTAGATAGAATGAATAATTCTCGATTGAACATTATACAACAATGATCTTTGGAAAAGCTCTACAAACTCTGATACGAAAGAAAATTTTCTGGATACTTTGTGAGTTTTTGGTTAACTGGGTGTGGGTGTGGGTGTGGGTGTGGGGTGTGGGTGTGATTTTAGCTCTTATCTTGAATTAACCTCACATCCACCTCACCCACACCCCAAACCGCACCCACCCCCCATGTTGTACCATCATTATAAATTAATAATGCAGCAACATTGTATTTACTTGCAAGACGAGCTTTACTTTCAACAGTACAATCACCTCGTTTAACAGGTGCTACAATACCAGCAGGAGATGGACGGACTGAAAGCCAATCATCATCTGAACAACCTAAATTAGGAATAACCGTAAGAAGAACATTGCTACTTATATCAACCGATGTTGAATAGTGAACATAATAAAAATCTGCTAATGAAAGACTAGTTGAATAATAATATGTTTTAACAACTCCATCAATTGTTGATGAAAATGTTGGATTACAAAGAAGTTGAAAATTTCGTAAATTAAAAAAAGTTTTTGTTATTTTCAAATTTGTATTTAATGAAAGATAATTCGTTATATAATCAAGTGTACGATTAAAACCAATTGTTTTAACAGCTCGATTTCCATTAGAAGATGTTGCAATATTTTGTAATTCATCAAGATGTTTCATAACATCATCAATATTGATTGATGATGCATATCGAACATTGGATAATTGTTTTGAAATATCAATTTGATCTTTATTGACGATCATTCCATTTACTGTAGGAATTAAATCAATAGATGTTACAAAAAGTCCAATGAAAAAGATTGTTCGAATCATCATGATGAAAATACTACGGAAATGAATCGTCATAAAGATTCAAAACTTGGATAAAAAACTAGACAAATACTTGTAATTTGTCAAGGCTTATAAAGACGATGAAAAATAATTTATTACAATTTTTATTCGTTATTATCAAGTTGATTTATTTGAATTTAATGCTTATCAATTAAATTCCTATTATCAGTGAAAAACAATCGTTAAAATTCTAGTTTGATAATAATATGTCACATGTCAAATATTTTTGATCATAAAAAAGAAAATTTATTTTTTTATTTTCAAGTATTTTATTTTAGATATATATGCACAAAGTTTTCTTTTTATTCATTTATTAAAATAAATGATCTTTTTTCTTATTTATTTTATAATTAAAATAAAATGAAATGAAAGAAGCTTTTCACTCTCAAAGAACATTATGAATTATTAATTGATCAATTAAGCTGTCTAAATAGATTTTGTTGATAATCATGTTCTTTTGAATTAGATCAAATCTCTTATTATCATATAATAACAAACGATGAATATTCATTCATCAAGAAAATTATTTAACGGAAATAACAAAAATATAAAAATTGTAAAATTGAACAATAATTATTCTTCTTTTATTTTTAAATGAATTTAAATGAAAAGAAAAACGAAATTAAATAAGATAAACTCATTATTAAGACTGAATAAGATTTATAAAAATTAATTCTATTCATTGTTGACAATTTATTACATTTTATTTCTAAAAAATTGACGCACAAGAAATAAA